CCAGCAAATTACCCAAATCCCTGAGCCCTGGGAAATCTCATTAAAGAAATCCTGCCCGAGGAACACATCTCTAAGGCGAGAGGCTGCATCTGCTGGGCACTGATGCCAGGGCCCTGGGCACGCTGCTCTTCAGGAAAAGTTAACTGGGAGATGCCACCTTTGTGGGCTGTGATCCGACAAAAAGCCTTTCTGTTCGAGGAGGCAGACTGGCAAGAGGCACCCACCACTGGGTCACAGGCAATCACACCAGGAATTTTCTGGAAGATTTCTCCCGTGGTGCAGCTTCCCCAGTGAGCGGGGCAGCGTTTCTGTCCGTGCTTCCCTAGAGCAGGAGTGTTTTCAGGGAAGGCACTTGCTGGAGCAGCCCTGAGCTCACAGCTCGGAGACGGGAGAGCTCACTGTGCTGACGCACATTGTTTCAGGGACTTGTTCAAGAGCTTTTAATCCCTCCACTGGCGCTGCTTATGGTTTTAATCAGCTCGAATGTTCATTCGGCATCAGCAGGATATGAAGCAGCAGCCCATGGAATCCTCCACCCAGCACCTACGGAAGATGACACTAAGGTGCGGGTCGTGGCGGAGGTGGGAGGTGGCAACGTGGTCTGCATGGCAGCAGGGGAGGGAGAGAGAACCCAGCACCTTCTCCTGTTCCTCACGTTACCTGCCCTGGGTGGGAACGCAGGGGAAGGGGCTGAGCATCTGCTTTATCTCCTCTGTCCTGGCACTCCGTACCTCTATTTGTGCTGCACACCTTAAACCCAACAGCAGCTGCCTCCCCCAGTGGGCAAACACGAACGCTGACACATCTGGCCAGAGGTGACGTGATCCAGGTCAGCCTCAGGGCTTCACTTCTCCCCAGGTAGAATCACCACTGCCCAGAAAGATGTCACCGCTCCACGAGGTGATCCTGCACCCACAGCCAGGAGAGGAGCTGCCCTTACTTTTACTGTCCCACGGCTTTTGTCCATGCCACGATTCACAAACCACACTGAAAAGCCTGAAGTCAAAACCAACACTGTTTCAGAAATGGAACCACTATCCTTTTCCCCGACTTGCTCATTCCTGGCCAGTGGGGTCAGGGCTCATTTACTGCAAATTTTATGGTAAAATTTGAGTTGAGTGGTACAAACAGATCAGACCTAACTTGATGCAACAGCCCTGCTCACTGCCAGCTCGGAAGAGATGCTGCTGATGTGCATCCCATCCCTGCCCTCCAGGTCTGAAATTCCAGAGGGCAGCAGATTACACGGGGTGCTCAGGAGCACCTGGGCACAGACACCATCACACCATCATGCAGGGAGAGCAGATGGGCTTGTTCAGCATCAGCTTCCGTTGCATTTTGCAAATGCAAAGAGGAGAACAATGCAAATGCAGACAGTTACTTTCAGCTGAAACTGGAATGATCAAAACCAGTGATAGAGGAGGAGGAGGAGTGCTGGACTG